AGGGCAACTACAAATATTTTTTAAAAATAAGTAAATTGAAATGATAAAAGAAGAGATATAATAGAATCATAAAATGCTCAATTAAAATTGAAGAAGGCAGAAAAAGAACCTTCTGGAAATAAAGAGAAAACAGTTACTAAACATAGTTGATATTAATCCAAATACATTAAAAAACAGCTTTATGAATGGTCTAAATATATCAATGAAAAAACAGATTATCAGAGCATATCAAAAAAAGAAAGTCAGGAAAGGTGACTCACACCTGTAATCCTAGCACTCTGGGAGGCTGAGGCAGGACTGCTTGAGGCCAGGAGTTTGAGACCAGCTAGAGCAAGACCCCACTCTCTACAAAAAATAGAAAAATTAGCCGGGCATAGTGGTGAGCGCCTATAGTCCCAGATACTGAGGAGGCTGAGGCAGAAGAATCACTTGAGCCCAGGAGTTTGAGGCTGCAGTGAGCTATGATGACACCATTACACTCTAGCCCCGGAGACAGAGTGAGACTCTGACTCAAAACAAAAACAAAACAGAATGAAAACAAAAACATAATACACCCAAAACTTATGGGATGCAGTGAAAGCAAGTGCTAAGGGGACAATTTATAGTTATAAATGCTTCCATTAAAAAAATAAGAAAGATCTCAAATCAATAACCTAACTTTACAACTTAAGGAATCAGAAAAAGAACAAACTAAACCCAAATCTAGCAGAAGGAAGGGAATACGATGGGTTAGAATAGAGATCAATGAAACAAAGAATAGAAAAATAAAGAAAAGTCAATGAAAACCAAAACATGGTTCTTTGAAAAGATCAACAAAACTGACAAACCTCTACTAAGGTGGACAAAGAAAAAAAGAGAGAAGCCTCAATAGAATTTAAAAGTGGGGACATTGCTACTGATTCTACAGAAATAAAAGGGATTATGAACAACTGTATGCCAACACACTGGATGATGTGGATAAATATCAAAAAATTCCAGAAAACACAAAAAGTACCAAGACTAAACATGAAGAAATAGAAAAATCTGAACAGACCTATAACTAGTAAGGAGACTGAATTGTGAATCAAAAATACCCAACAAAGAAAAGCCCTAAATCTGATGGCTACACAGGTCAATTCATCCAAATATTTAAAAAGAATTAATATCAATCCTTCTCAAGGTTTTCAGGAAATTGAAGAGGAGGAACACTTTCTAGCTCATTTTATGAGGCCAGCAATAGTATGTTATGACAAATTTCATAAGTGATATTGGTTTATAGTTTTCTTATAGCGTCAACCAAAGATACTACAAGAAAACTATAAATCAATCACTTATGAAAATTGATTAAAAAATCCTCAACGAAATCCTAGCAAACTGAACTCAGCAGCATATTAAAAGGATCATGCACCATGACCAAGTGGCATTTATTCTTAGAATGCAAAGACGGTTCAACATATAAAAATCAATCAATGTCAAAGTACCACCATTAATAAACTGAAAGAAAAACAGCACATGATCATCGCAACTGATACAGAAAAAGCATATGACAAAATTAAAAAACCTTTTATGACAAAAACACTCAACAAACTAGGAATGGAAGGAAACTGTTTCAACATAATAAAAGCCATGTATGAAAAACCCACAGCAAATATCATACTCAATGGTAAACTAAAAGCTTTCCCTTGAATATCAGGAACAAGGCAAGGATTACTGCTTTCACTTCTATTCACCTTAGTATTAGAGGTTCTAGCCAGAGCAAGTAAGCAAGAAATAAAAGGCATCCAAATTAGAAAGGAGAAAGTAAAACAATGTCTGTCTCTAGACTGTATGATTTATTATGTAGAAAACCCTAAAGATTCCACACAAAACAATTGTTAGGATAAAATCAGTCAAGTCGTAAAATACAAAGTCAATACTAAAAAATCAGTTGCATTTCTATACACTAACAATCAACAATCCAAAAAGGAAATTATGAAAACAGTTTCATTCACAATAGCATCAAAAAGAATAAAATATTGAGGAATTAGCTTAACCAAAGAAGCAAAAGATTTATACAATGGAAGCTATAAAACATTGTTAAAAGAAATTAAAGAAGACATAAAATAAATAGAAACACAACTGTACTGATTGACTGGAAGACTCAAAATTTTTTTAAATGTCCATATTACCCAAAGTGATCTATAGATTCAGTGTAACCTCTAATAAAATCCCAATGATGTCTTTTGCAGAAATAGAAAAATCCATTCTAAATTCATATGGAATCTCAAAGGCATAGCCAAATATCTTGAAAAGGAGAACCACCTTGGGACTCAAACTTACTGATTTCAAAACCTTACAACAACAGCCTGAGCAAGAGCAAGACCCCAACTCTACCAAAAATAGAAAAAATTAGCCAGGTTTAGTGGCATGCGCCTGAAGTCCAAGCTATTCAGCAGGCTGAGGCAGCAGGATCGCTTGAGCCCAGGAGTTTGAGGTCGCAGTGAGCTGTGGTGAATGAACCCACTGCACTCCACCCAGGGTGACAGAGTGAGACTGCCTCAAAAAATAAACAAAAAAATAAAACAAAACAAAAACCATGAAAAAAAAGAAATAAAAAACTCACTACGAAGCTACAGAAATCAAGACAGCATCGTTCTGGCATAATGACCAACATATAGACTAATGGAGCAGAATAGAGAACCTGGATATAAATCTTTGCATATATGGTCAAATGATTTTTGAATTTCTCTTCAAGTTTTTTTTAATTTCAAGAAAATAAATTTTTCATAGTTCTCATCCTAAATATTTTAGATACTAAATATTTATCCACAATGGCCAAAGTATGAATTAAAAGAAGAATTATAAGCCCAGTGCCTTTAATGTCTTAAAGGCAACAAGTGTGATTTTACCACAACAAGAACTTCTAAAGGCCCAAATGATATGGACGTAGACGGATTTCCAATCATCTGTGAGAAACCTCCTCCAACATAACTGAAGAGAAATCTGTGCTATTCTAATATGGCTCATTAGTTTCCTGGAAGGTGCCTTTAGCAATCCCCTCCAGAGTGGTTTAATGCATTATGTATTTAGATACAGATGCATCAACAGCATTCAACTCAGTCAAACTAACTCAAAGCAAACAAACTAATTTTGCAAGACCTGGTAGGTGATGATGCAAGCTTTTTTAGAGAAACAAACATTTTAATACCAGGTATAAATGAAATATTTTGCCTAGTACATTTTATTTTTCCAAATAAAAATGTCTTCCAACTAATGTATTTTAGATGAATTGGTAAATAGTCATGACTTTGCAAAAGTGGCTGAAATAAGGCTTAATTATACAACCTAAGTTTCTATATGACCTCTACTACATATGGCTTGACCTCCACATTTGCCTTTCTACCCATGAGTCTTTCAAATCTATCTACAGGATTCAAGTTTAACAGGTATCAAAGGAACAGATATTAGAAATGATATTCCTAAAATACATTTTTCTTCTCCTTTTACTATAATGTAGATTACCTCTGGCTTCCTGAGAAAAGGTCAAAAGTCAGGGGAAAGAATGTTTTTAACTATAGTGTCCCAATAGACTTTGGGAATAACCACAATTTCACTACTTTACTTGAATATTTTTAGGAACTAATTCTTGAATAGCTTCCACCAGCAAAAATATATAACAGAACATTCTATAATCTTTTCTTTGGACTAAGAAATAGAGCTCTATTCAGTTAAGAACAGGGAGTCAAAAACTTCCTAACCATACACATTTGCCCAGAGGAACACAGGCTGCAAACCAGGTAGACCATGAAAACAGCCTGGCTTTGACTATATACTGAAAAACATCATTAAAAAGCATTCTATTAGTAAAGACAACATTTAATGGTCAAACTAAGCAATATTCAAAGTAACAAAATTTAAGCATGAATTTAGTGGCTGTGGCAAGTAATTATAATAGAATGTGACAAACCTATTAAACTCTATTCTAAACCCGTGGTCATTATTAATCTCCCACCTGTGCCCCTCCATAGCAAACACACAACAAACTTCACTATGAGCTACAAATCCCCCACTTCACAGGGACTGGGGTGGAAAGTTGGAGGGAGAGATCACACAGTGGTCCAGGAAGCCCCATCCATGCCATCTCTTCCAGTTAAGAGTAACTGTTTTAAATAATAAATCAGAAGAGTTTGGGGAAAATTCTACTTTTGGTTGATTAAAGCTAACCTTGAACAAGAAAAACTGGCATAAAGAAAAATAAAAATTAGAATTATGGTGAATCAACAAAAGTGAGTTCAAACAGCTAGAGAGACAAAGCTATAGAGGGCCTAAGAATAACACCAACCTAAAATTTCACTGCATAGTCTAACATACTAAATATATGCATGGGATTCTCTGAGAAGAAGTCCATGAAAATCAACCTTTTCCTAGTTTCTCACTCCACTTCCTGAACAGGCTCTTAGCACACCCTGCTTCTGGCAGCCCCTCCTATCTGCCCTCTGGCTTCCCACAGGTCACTATGACCTTCTATGGCAGGGACACTCAGAGTTCCTCCTTTAGACTTATATATTTCTACAAGGCCTTAATTTTCACTCTGAAGATGCATAATCATTGTAGACCCTGTAGAGCCCAGCCAATGTTAGAGGACTTGTGCTATATTCAAATTACTTTACCGATCACTTTAAGAAAATGAGCAAGGCCCCAGAAGACCATGGGTAGATAATTTTGAAATTGTATGGAAGTATCCCTGAGTTTAACCTATTAGCAACATCATCTGAAGAACTCTCTACTTTCTAGTTAATTCTAAATGAATTTAAACCATGGCCTTCATGCCTGTATTTAATCATTGTTTTTACAAGTGTAAAGGTTCAAAATTTTAAGTATTTAAGAGATTATGGGGACAGGAAACATTTGCAGACCTTCTTATCAAGAGCAGATGCTGTTCTACGCAAGCTGACAATTTATTGATTTCTGTTTGTTTAAATATGTACTCCTGTAGGATCTTAGTGATGACTGTAATTTCAGGCCCTTTCACCCCAACTTACCTTACTGTGTGTGAAGGGAGGTGCTGCGTACAAGGTGGGGTGGATAAGGGGGCGTGGCAGGTGTGGGACAGTGTGCAAAGGCACATGTCCATGGATGTGGGGGTAAAGATGCAGTGCGGGGTGTGTAGGTTTCTCTGGGGTCATGAACTGATGGCCAGGAGGAAGGGCTCCAGCTGTCATTGCAGATGGTGTCAGTCCAGAAGCTTCTTGTTTACAAACATGACATTCACAAGTGTTTGGAGCTTGTTCAGCCTAAGGGGAAAACAAAAAAGTACTCGATTATTTAGTGAACAAAGAATGGTATGAATTAAATCAAAGTCAGTCATATTTTGCTGAGCATCTACAAAGCAATTACAAAGGTAACAGGGCTTGTCCGGACACCCTAAGTTGACCAGGGCCCTCCTTGAAAGAAAGGAGGCACCCTAAGACCTGGAACTGAAGAAGCTGCAAAGAGAAGAAAGGTGCGTTTCACTCCCCAGTTGGGTGTCTACTCATGCAGAAGCCCCTAGATCTGCATCCTGTGCCTGATGTAGAAAATTTGACTTCCCAAATTTGACCAGGGACAAAGGAATTGGTGAAGTTCACAGAGTAGAGAGAGGGAGCTGGTACCAAGGAGAACAAAGCCATGAGATAGCTATGCTCAATGGGTTCATGCTGCTGAATAAATGGTTACACAGAGATTCTCCAAAATGAAGAGATGGGACTTCCAGCTAAGGTGAAGTGAAATGATTGGTGGTTCCTCTGCCTTAAAGCAAATGTACATCTGAACACAATTGTCAAAGGAAACCACTTTGGCTGGGCACGGTGGTTCATGCCTGTAATCCTCTGGGAGGCAAGGCAGGAGGATCGCTCAAGGTCAGGAGCTGGAAACCAGCATGAGCAAGAGCGAGACTCTGTTTCTACTAAAAATGGAAAGAAAATAATTGGCCAACTAAAAATATATAGAAAAATTAGCCGGGCATGGTGGCACATGCCTGTAGTCCCAGCTACTTGGGAGGCTTAGGCAGAAGGATTGCTTGAGCCCAAGAGTTTGAGGTTGCTGCAAGCTAGGCTGATGCCACGGTACTCTAGCCCAAGCAAAAAAAAAAAAGGCAACCATTTTGAGGCTCTGGAAATTAGCCAAAGGAAAAACACTGAGAAGCATTTATTCATGCAAATCAGCTAGAACTTCAGGGAGGAATAGCAAGACTCTGGCCTTCTTGACTGGGACCCTTCCTGCTCCATGCACACCCTACATTCCACCCCCAGCTCAGTCAGGAGTGGGCACAGGAGTTCCATGAGAGCAGGGATGCCAGTGAGAAGCAGCCCTGCTGTCAAAAAAGGGCAGCCTGAAGTTAGGCAAAGGGTAAAGCAATAAAGTGATGCACTGCCTGTTAGTTTGAGACCTGGGTCCTGGTTGGGTGAGCAGCACATGAGACAGAAATACAACAGGGAGAAGCTGGAAATGAGAGAGCCATGTAAAGTTTCCTTAAGCTGTCCTAGGTGGCTAGGAGACCACAGTGCATTCATAGGGGAGACCTCAGAGGCCAGATGAAGGGGCCACCAAAGCCAACGTGAGAACCGACTGGGCACTGAACACATCAGCAAACACTGGAGCCCCTGTGGGTTCAAGGTGCACAGGCAACCTCTGCCCAAACCATCAGCTGACCAGTAAGCCAGGCAGCCAAAGGGAAGACCTCTAGAAGCCAAGCTTAAAAAAAATAAATAAATAAAAAATGTGAGGTGAGACATCTGCGGCCACGTAATGTGGGAAGATAAAAATATGCAAATTAAGTCCAGGAAAGTCAAAACAAAACAAAACAAATGTCTAGTAGACATTTTAAATGTACAATACAGCAATAGAGTGAGACCCCATCTCTCCCAAACAAAAAACAAACAAACAAAAACAGGTTAAGGAGTTACACTGAACCTCTTTTGGTTGTTGGTGGTGGGGCTTGCCCAATTCATGAATCATTCTTTGTGCAATTAAACTCTGTGAAACACTGAAGACATTTACACATACAGACTGAGAAAATTAACTGCTAGCAAACTGGTCCTATAAGAAATATTAAAGGATGCTGGCCAGGAATGATGGCTCACACCTGCATTTTGGGAGGCTCTCAGCATTTTGGGAGGATTGCTTGAGGCCAGGCATTCAAGATCAGCCTGGGCAATATCTTAAGACACTGTCTTCACCAAAAAACAAAAAACAAAAAAATTAGCCAGGGATGGTGGTGCACACCTGAAGTCCTAGCTACTCTGTAGTCCAAGTTAGTTGGGAGGCTGAGACAGGAGGATCCCTTGAGCCCAGGAGTTTGAGTCTGCAGTGAGCAATTATAGTGCCACTGCACTCTAGCCTGGGTGGCAGAGGAAGACTAGGTAGGTAGGTAGGGAGGGAGGGAGGGAGGGAGGGAGGGAGGGTGGAAGGAGAGGGGAGGGGAGGGGAGAAGGAAAGGGAAAAGAGGGAAGGGAAGGGAAGAGGAGGGGAGGGAAGGGAGGAAGAAAATTAAAGATGTCCTCCACTTGAAAGGAAAAAACATAACTCAAATCAACAGAAAAAACAAAGAATACCAGTAATGTTAAGGGGGCCAGAAAATCAAAAACTATATATTTTTCTTTTCTTTGCTCTTACTCTTAGTCTTTCTAAATATCATTAAATTTTAGGAAGCGGGAGGGGAATCAAGATGGCGGACGAAAAACACCGCCAGACAGAGTGTCTCCGCAGAAAAGACAGATTCTACCAGAAATTAGAAGAAGCAAGAAGACGAGCCTACATCGGACGAGGGTCGGAAGGAGGAATACCTGAGACCACGGGAGACTCCACAGGAGGAGATCCCGGAGAACTGGAAGCTGAGACCCCCCCAGAGCAGCACAGAGACCAGCGGGAAGGGTAGGTATTTCAGCCATTTCCCCTCCCCTGCATCTCGGACTGCTGGTGGGTTCCCCAGCGGGTGGAGAGACATGCGGACACCAGCCCAGCGATGGCCACTGCCAGTGAGCAGTAAGCTGGTAGAGGCCCTGGCACCAGGCTCCCAGATCCCTCGGGACACCTCCATGTGCATAGACCCGAGCCGCGCGGCAGGCGCCATATTGCCTCATTCTCCCCTCCGCCGACCCTACCCGAGGCTGTCCAAGTGACAATACAGCTGCCAGCTGGAGGCACCTCAAGGGAACGGGACATTCACTTTTGGGGCCCTACAGCTAAGGGGAACTCAGACTGTGACCTCTCTACTCGCCAGCCCTCCCAGGTGCTGCTGGCACAGTGATCCCAGGACAACAGGGCAGACCCAGAGGCTGAGAGACATAGACCCTGCTTGGGCTCCTGTGGGTGAATTGGGACTGGCACTCCTCTCCCTGGTGGGGATATAGTTTGAATTCTGGGACCCGGAGGTCAGACCTGCAGACCAGATCCCGTGCACCCAGGTCTCGCATTGCCCGGGGCACAGAAGGGATATACGTGAACAGCTTACTGAGGTGTGTGTGCCTTAAGGGGCAGATCAGTGCCCCAGAGGGCAACCCTCCTCCCAAAGGGAGGCAGTGCGCCCAGCCCAGGTAGCGTTCCTGCGCAGGGAACCCCGGCCGGCATCACAGGCAGGGGAGGCCTGGTGGCGTGTGGTCTGGCCTGCTGGCAGAGGCCCAAGAGTAGCCATGGAGTTGAGGACCGTGGAAAGAAGCGAGGCCCGCTCCAGACTGCGGGTCTCAGACAGCCCCACCCCCACACACAGACTCTCTGACTGAGTGGGGGCCATTCCAGCCCCTCCCTGACAGCTTTTCCCGGAAGCAGAGAACAGAACTTTGACCCCTGATAATGGCATTGATGGTGCCTGAGGGCAGACTTACCCAACCCAGCTCCGCCCAGACTCACTCCCAGACCAGCCCTCACTGAGGGGGAGAAAAGGACACACCTGGAAGTACCAGGACCCCACCCACCACCTGAGGCACTAGAGTGCCTCCCTACAGGAACAAGAGCTGATAACAGGACACAAAAACAACAGCGTAGCCTGTTCCTCCAAGCAAGTGCCACCTACTGACAGGGAGGGCATCCTGCACACCCTTTTCACAGCACCTACTGACTCATTATACAGGGAGTGGTCGAATCTCACCCTCAGACACCACCTACCGGCTCAGAAACTAAACAAGGCATGTGAATACCCAAACGAAAACCTAAAGGAAAGAAACAACAACTGATGACATGGGAAGAAATCAGCGACGGAACTCCGGAAATATGAAGAACCAAACGGAAAACACAACTCCAAAGAGGAGCACCAGCCCCCTAGAAATGGACACCAACCAAAATCAGGCAACCAAAATGACAGGAGGAATTTTGAATGTGGATCATCAGAAAATTCAATGACCTGCAAAAACAACTCAATAACCAATACAAAGAAACCACAAAAAGCCTCCATGATCTGGAGCAAAAGTTCACTAAAGAAAATCAAACAATGAAGAAAAGTCTAACCAAAGTCCTGAAAATGAAGAATCAATTCAAGGAACTACAAAACACAGTGGAAAGCCTCAAGAACTGGGTAGATCCAACAGCAGAAAGAATCTCAGAGATTGAAGATAACACCTTTCAATTAAATAAATCAGTACAGAGACAGAGCAGAGAAACAACAGAAAAGAGCAAAGCCTACAAGAGATGTGGGGTTATGTGAAGAAACCTAATGTGAGGGTCATAGGGTTACCAGAAGGGGAAGAAGACAACACTCAAGGGTTGGATAAGCTAAAAGCTTGCTGCATAGCCAAAGAAACAGTCATGAAAGTAAACAGACAACCTACAGAATGGAGAAAATTTTGCACCCTACGCACTCCGATAAGGGGCTGATAACTAGAATATACTTAGAACTCATGAAAATCAGCAAGAAAAATCAAATAACCCTATTAAAAAGTGGGCAAAGGACTTGAACAGAAACTTTTCTAAAGAAGACAGAATGGCCAACAAACATATGAAAAATGCTCACCATCTCTAATCATCAGGGAAATGCAAATCAAAACCACAATGAGATATCACTTAACCCAGTGAGAATGGCCTTTATCAAAAAGTCTCCAAATAACAAATGCTGGCGTGGATGCGGAGAGAAGAAACACTCCTACACTGCTGGTGGGACTGAAAACTAGTTTCAACCTCTGTGGAAAGCAATATGGAGAATCCTTAAAGCGATACAAGTGAATCTACCATTTGATCCAGCAGTCCCATTACTGGGCATCTACCCAAAAGATCCAATGACACTCTACAAAAAAGACACCTGCACTCGAATGTTATAAGCAGCACA